ACGACCCGCCGCTAACAATGCATAGCGCTGAAGTAAGTTTAACCAGACAAAAAAGGGAATCGAACCTACGACCCGCCGCTAATGATGCATAGCGCTGAAAAACGTTTAACCAGACAACAAAGGGGAATCGAACCTACGACCCGCCGTTAAGGATGCATAGTGCTAAAGTAAGTTTAACCAGACGACGAAAGGGAATCGAACCTACGACCCACCGCTAAGGGTGCATAGTGCTGAAGTAAGTTTAACCGGGCAAATTAAAGGGAATCGAACCTACGACCCGCCGCTAACGTTGCATAGCGCTGGAGTAAGTTTAACTGGACAACGAAAGGGAATCGAACCTACGACCCGCCGCTAACGATGCATAGCGCTGAAGTAAGTTTAACCGGACAACGAAAGGGAATCGAACCTACGACTCGCCGCTAACGATGCATAGCGCTGAAGTTAGTTTAACCAGACAAAAAAGGGAATCGAACCTACGACCCGCCGCTAAGGATGCATAGCGCTGAAGTACGTGTAATCAGACAACGAAAGGGAGTCGCACCTACGACCTGCCGCCTACGGAGTGATGAGTTCACTGACGTTCCTATATGATCACTTAAGTTGTTATTGATCAGTGTTAATGGTACAGTACTAGTTTTGAGAAAACATCTGATGATCATAACACAATAAAAGTATAGTACGAACTGTGTTTAGTTTAGACATAAATTATATTTAAAACACTACGACTGTCGTTTGACACCAGCTGTTGTCTTCTCCAAGGTCGTGTGGAGATCGTTATACTAGCCGTCTTCTACACTATCAGGTGTGGAACCTATCACTTAATTAAAACCGTTTTATCCGGTATGGCGTTTCCAAGCTTATATACTGAAACAAACATTAAGAAAAGAAATAGAAAAAGAACATACACCAAGTCTAAATTATCACGAGTAGTTTGGGGTAAAAATAAACAACCTATCAATCAGTAAATAGTCGGAGGACCCAGTTTTACGGCCAGTTCAACCCGATACAATGCCTTTGTTTTGTGTAAGTTTTACTAGTTGATTATGTTGTTGTTCAAGCTGAAGTGAAACCAACACTTAGAAACCACATACTCTGAACATAAATGGACACTTTTTAATATGGAAGTGGACCGTTGAAAAATTATGAATATAACCCCTTAAACAATATCGATCTGCTAAACCTCGCGAACACGGCACGCGACTTGGGCTTTATACGTATAGGTACGTATTTACACCACATACATAGTTTACTCGCGTATTTCAAACTAAACGCAGGAAAAAGTGATCTCAGTAAGTATATGTCATGGACAATAAATGTCGGAACACAGTAAGGCGGGATTCAATTACAGTTATCTGTACTCGAAATCATATGTGGTGATATTGTTCTTAGAACAAAATTTGATCGTCCAACGTTTTAAAACTTGCTTGCCCATTCAAGTGTGTACTTTTCAGATTATCTTACCATATCAATTGATATTTAACATCTTTGTATTCTGGCTTCCTTTTAAAGTCTGTTCAGGGTTTTTTATGGTGCTGACGGCATCCCTTTATCATTATTTACAATAGAGTACAAAAACAACACTTACATGTCAGCCTAAACACTGCTTTTATTACAAAACTATTCGATTTTTGTCGCATCTAAAGATAATTTGTAGGTCTAAGCCAGGGAAACATGGGGCTCCCCTTAGGTTAATATTTTGGTAACCGGTTCCGTGAAGAAGAAAAAGGACAGAAAAGATAAAAAAAAAAAGATACACAAAAATCTATTTAAATGACAATAAATAACAAGCAAAAGCACAAAACGGATGACCTTATTTTTCGAAGCTGCTAAGCAGAAATTACCAAATGTACGGATTAAAGCATAAAAGTTATTCACCAATAATGTTGAGTTTGTACGTTTACCTGGACAATCTGATTGTTATCGCTCCTTTATAAATTAAGTCGATCCCGTCGACGTCGTTGCGTACCCAGTTTGGTGCCTAGTTTCGGTGCCAAATTTCGATGCCCATCTATTTCTGGTACATGTTCATACCGTAAACACTGTAATACCGCTGCAGTCCAAAGTAATGGAAACGATGTTTCCATCTAAGGCACTTAGTATACATTGGATCAGGGGAAACAACTACTGTCTAATCACAGAGCCATATTCTGTGATGATCAATTTCTACAGAATGTTCACAGTTCTGAAAAGGCTTTTGAAAGAACATCTTTCAAGTGGATCACCTCTGGCGACAATAGTAACGTTGACGTATATCGTAGTAATGCTGAACGTCTATTACGTGACTCTGGTTTACTTGAACGTGAAATTTCGACTTGTGGTGAAATTGAAACATTTACAGCTGATCTTGTTAAAGTGATTAAAGAAGCCTCTTTTACTTCTCTACCTAAAAAGAAACTTCGCTCTTTTCTTAAGCCGTATTGGAATGGTCATCTCAAGGATCTCCATAAACGAATGTGGAATCTTCGCTGCAGTTGGGTTAGGCTTGGCCGACCACGTGGCCCCAATACCGAGTCTTTTCGTTTGTATAAAGAGGCAAAGCGCGACTTTCGTAGAGCTCGCCGTCGACTGTCAGAGGAGCATTTACAGAAACTCAATGATGACATTGCAGAAGTAGCTGAGGTAGAAAACATCGTTGTCAACGTAACAATGGAACAGCTAGTGCAGAAGTAAATTTTGAAGAAAAAACAGTTCATAATCCCCAACAACTTGCAGTTCATTGGGGTAGATATTTTTCATTTTTGTATAAACAACCTGAAAACACATATTATGATAACGAATTTAAAATAACTGTTGATTCTAAAATGAAAGATAATCTTGATCAGCCCTCTGTACCATCGAATTTTAGTGATTTTACAATGTTTGAAGTCTATGCGGTTTGTAAGAAATTACCTTTAGGCAAGCACCAGGTCATGACACATTAGTTTATTAACACTTCATATTTTGAGGTGAATGTCTCTATCATTGCCTGACAAGGTTATTTAATGCTATGGTATCTCGGGAGTTCTTTCCTTTATGTTTGGAAAAAGGCATTATAAGTACGCTGTATAAGGGCAACAATAAGCCTAAGAATGACCCAAACAGCTACCGAGCGATATCAATATTGCCTGTCACTCTAAACGTTTTTGAGAAACTTTTTCTTATGAGATTTGAGTCCGCTAACCTTTTTATCGTTAGTCCGCTACAGAATGGCTTTCAGACTCATGTTAGCAGCATAATGACTTCTTTATTGATACATGAAGCGATTACATACGCCGACGAGCAAAGTAATACATTATTTACATGTTTTCTTGATGCCGCTAAAGCATTCGATTGTGTTTGACACTATGGATTGTTTATGAAAATGTATGATTTGGGGTTTGATATAAAGTTTATCATGATCTAAGCTTCAATGTATATAAAGGTTTCGTCTCTGACTGGATCCTTACAGAGCAAGGTACTAGGCAGGGTAGTATATTATCACCATGGTTGTATACATTATATATCAATGATCTATTGGAAGAATTATGCAATTCAAACACATCCCTAATGATAGAAGATGTTAACGTTACTTGTCCGACACAGGCTGACGATATTGAACTTTTGTCTTATACCAAGTGTAATCTAGATGTTTTGATGAATATATGTTACAGATATAGTTGTAAATGGAGGTTTAAGAAAAACGCCTCAAAAACATGTAATGTAGCTTTAAATGAATCTAAAACATGGTATGCCAGATCCTCACGTAATGGCGTTTGGGTGTTGAAACTGTGAATGAGTCTGAACATACCACAAATGTCGGAATATTTCTAGACAAATTTAAATTTGGTCGTCCATATATGAAAATGTACTTCACAAGTTTAGAAGTTCCTGCTTCTCGTTTTTGAATGGAGGGTTAATAGGGAAGTCGATAAACCCTCTCATTGGTCTGAAGCTGTTTCGCCTTGTAACTCTTCCGCGCTGTTTATTTGGCTCGGAATTGTGGTTTTCATTAAGTGTGAAGGATTGGTCACGGCTTGAAATAATTCAACATTTTTGTGCCAAAGTCATTCAGTGTTTTCCCTTCAGAACACGTTCTGACATGGCTCTTGGTATGTTGGGACTAACGTCACTGAAGGCGAAAGTAGAACAGTCTAAACTTCAATTCTTTGGTTCTTTGTGTCGTCTGAGATCTTCAGCTACTGTAAAACAGCTATTTTTTATTACGGTTGTACCAGAAACACCTATGTGTTTATAAAAGTACCAAAGGTGTCATTTACTACATCTGGTTCATTATTTTAAAATACGGTCTGGAAGAGTTCTTGAACTTTTTCTTGGAAGAAGTTTTTTTTTCCCGTCCAAACAGTCCTAGATTTTTTGGGTTAAAAATGCTATTTGTTCAAAAGAACAATCAGAATGGTATGAGCGCCTGAACAATTGTGACGACTTTTGTCGATTCCAAAATTTCATGGAACACTTCGTCCGTCGTATCTTTGGTTTCTGTCGAAACAGTTATTTCCTTTTCAATCTCATATTTGCAGTAGAGTAGCGAATTTGTGGTTAATAAGCCCATACTGTGAACTGCTATGTGCTACATGTAAAACAATGTCTCGGGGTGCTCTAGCTCATTGCTTACTTGATTGTAGACCTCCAGATTTGGTTACCTTCCGTGACGAATACTTTACTGATATTGTAAACAATATTCGGTTGAGTTGTACGTCAAACTTGATAGTTTAGATAGGCAGGACATTCTTTGTATTCCCGGATGATGAGTGCTACTCTAGGTTTGCATACGATTGCTGTTGCTTTTCTGTCAAAGCTGCTGAATTCATTTTCCAGTAAATGTGTATATATATATGTATTTACATGACTTTGAACAAATCAAATTCCATTTGTCTCAATCATGGCATTATATTTTTTTCCCTTTCTTATATCTCCTGTTTCATGTATTTTCCCTCATTGACGGGGAATGGGGTTTGTTCAGACATAACCGAGAATAAAGTATAGGCAGCTGTCGAAGACATAAGGTAGATGTTCTTGTACCTTTTCTCGTACAAATGTTTAATGCAATATTCAAATATGAGTTTTTGTTGATATAGTACCGTACAGTATACTAAAATGTTAGTAAGGCCGTAGCACAATGGGAAGAAGTATCGGTAAATAAAACAGATGAACAGTTGTGATATAGAATGATATTTATCTGCTGTTGATACGGTATCTGCACTACTGTAATTTATCAATCGAACATTAAAGAATAGGAAACGAGTTTAAAATGTACCTTTTATCAAAATTTTATTTAAACAATATATTTATGTAATCTTTGCCTTATGTACGAAAATGTACAACAATCTGACATTGACAAACGAAGGAAGTACCCTTTTGTGTAATTTGTCAGTTTGAAATATTTAAATAAATGATTTGGTTTTCAAGTACAGATTGTCGTATTATATGTCTCCTATTTGAGCAGATTAAGCAATATTGTTGTGTGGTTAACAATTGTGTAAAGTGGACTATTTAGAATAAGTCTTGGGGGTGCTATACCTCAAGATCAACTGTTATCATTTCTATGCCTCCTCAGTTATTTGTCAAATATTCATTTATCTCTTATTTACGTAGTCTCGTTCAACCAGACTCTTGTTGTCTTTGCAAGCTACGCCGAACATAGTCTCGTTCAAACCCAGTGCTTTCGTTTTGTGACATCATAACGAGGCCTACCAGGATTCTGGTAAATGATTTCATTGGTCAAAAGTTGACACACCCTTTTCAATTCTTGAAGTCAGAATTTGAGTGGCCCAAAATCACATCGAATATTTTAATTCATGAAAAATATACCTGTATATACATTCCTGAAGTATCCATGTTTTCACTATTAACGAGAAAAATATAAGAAAATGCTTCAAAAATTGATTTCATGTATTTTCATTGGATATTTTATAATAGTTCATCAAGCTAACAAGGCTATTGATACAAGTCAAGCCAGATTTCCCGAGTGAGAACTTGAAGGTGTTTATTAAGGTGTACAGGTAAAATCTCACTTGCTTTGCATGTTTTTTTTCAACTTCAGTCAGCCTTGTTGGCTTTGTGCTTAGTTATGATTTATTCAGTGGAAATATATGGCAATATTCTGGAGATTTGACACATTTTCTTACATTGTTCTCGCTAATAGTGAATACACGGGTACTTCAGGAATGCATGTAAAGGTAAGTTTTTTTCATTAATTTCATTATTCAGAGAAATGTTTAATGGCGTTGAAACACTGCCCTCTGGTGATGGTAATTTTTAAAGTCCTGTGTTTGACCAGACTTGTGATCAAGCGTCTGGTTGAAAGAGACTACGCCGAACATAGTGATAAAGCGTTTAGTTGAACGAGACTATTATTTACGTTGGTAACCTATCATCAGTCTGCTTGAATTATTGATAGACTTTATACAACATTCAGTATAAGGTAAATTTCAATGTAAATATCATCCTAATCATGTCTAAATAATAAAATCTAGAACTTGATCTTGCATCTTATTGTGTTTTTTTTTATACTGTATTATCGTTACAAATCGACCGTGGGCGAAGTAGGTGTAACCATAACTGAATGACGTCACTTAAACTAGCGACGGCACTCTCTAATGAATACCCCTAGCCCTTTCTCTTTAATAGGATGGCACCCAAAATAGAAAGGTACCAACAATGGAACACTATATGTATGATGCAGCATTTGTATTTGGTAATACAAGTAAATGATAAATAAAAAAATTATGAAGTTTTAAGAAATTGTAGCATTTTTAATCTGCATACCTTTTACATGTTGACACAGGTATGTTTTAAACTTGTGTGGTGACACATGTATATTTTAGACTCGTTTCGTGTCACAGGTTTATTTTAGACTTGTGTGATGACACAGGTATGTTTTAGACTTGTTTGGTGACACAGGTATATTTTAGACTTGTTTCGTGACACATGTATGTTTTAGACTTGTGTGGTGACAAAGGTGTATTTTAGACTTGTGTGATGACACAGGTATGTTTTAGTGTTGTGTGGTGACATGTATATTTTAGACTTGTGTGGTGACACAGGTATGATTTAAACTTGTGTGGTGACACAGGTATGTTTTAGACTTGTGTGGTGACACAGGTATGTTTTAGACTTGTGCGGTGAAACAGGTGTGTTTTAGACTTGTGTGGTGACACATGCATGCTTTAAACTTGTGTGGTGACACAAGTATGTTTTAGACTTGTTTGGTGACACATGTATGTCTTAGACTTGTGTGGTAACACAGGTATGTTTTAGACTTGTGTGGTGACACATGCATGTTTTAGACTTGTGTGGTGACACAGGTATGTTTTAGACTTGTTTGGTGACACATGTATGTCTTAGACTTGTGTGGTGACACAGGTATGTTTTAGACTTGTGCGGTGAAACAGGTGTGTTTTAGACTTGTGTGGTGACACATGCATGCTTTAAACTTGTGTGGTGACACAAGTATGTTTTAGACTTGTTTGGTGACACATGTATGTCTTAGACTTGTGTGGTGACACAGGTATGTTTTAGACTTGTGTGTTGACACATGTATATTTTAGACTTGTTTGGTGATTCAGGTATATTTTAGACACAAGGTCCAATACTCGATGTCAAGGTCCGATACTCTGTATCTAGGTCCAACACTCGTTATCAATGTCCAATACTAAGTATCAAGGTCCAATACTCAGTACCAATGTCCAATACTCGGTATCAAGGTCCAATACTCAGTATCAATGTCCAATACTCGATATCTAGGTCCAATACCCGGTATCAAGGTCCAATACTCAGGGTCAAGGTCCAATACTCGGTATCAACGTCCACTACTCGGTATCAAGGTCTAATACTCGGTGTCAAGGTCAAATACTCTGTATCATGGTCAAATACTCGGTAGCAAGGTTCAATATACAGTATCAAGGTATAATACTCGGTGTCAAGGGTCAATACTCAGTGTCAAGGTCCAATAATCGGTAGTAAGGTCCAATACTCGGTGTCAAGGTCCAATACTGGATATCTAGGTCCAATAATCCTTATCAAGGTTCAATACTTTGTATCAAGGTAAAATACCCGGTATCTAGGTGCAATACACCTTATCAAGGTCTAATACTCGGTGTCATGGGTCAATACTAGCTGCCAAGGTCCAATACTCGGTATCAAGGTCTAATACTCGGTTTCAAGGTCCAATACACGTTTTCAAGGTTCAACACTTTGTATCAAGTTCCAATACTCGGTTTTAAATGTCAAGGTCCAATACTCGACGTTAAATGTCAAGGTCCAGTACTCAGTATCAAGGTCTAATACTCGGTATCAAGATCAAATACTAGGTATCAAGGTCATATACTCAGTATCCAGGTATAATACTCGGCGTTAAGATCCAATAGTCGATAACAGCTCTCCAGCTCAAGGTTGGTGCCAGAACTATTGAGACTGTTCCAGCTGTTAAAAACCTAGGGGTATACTTTGACAATTCTCTGAACATGGAGAAACAAGTGAACGCTATTGCCAAATCCTGTTACTACCAGATCAGGAACATCGGCTGTATTCGGCAGTTTCTAACTGCAGATGCATGCAAGATTTTGGTGCATTCACTTGTTACCTCTCGGTTGGATTATGGTAACGCCCTGCTCTGTGGTATATCTGACAAACTAACTAGTCGTCTGCAGAGGGTTCAGAACACTGCAGCACGGCTAGTTACTCGTACTCGAAAGAGAGAGCACATCACACCTGC